TTGCAGGTGAAACTGAGAGAATTTTCTGACAGTTTTTTTTTTTCTTTTGTCTTTTTTTTTTCTTTTGTCTGGAGAAATTGAAACATGCTTCTTACATGAGAACAGAAATAGCACAGGAACATCACGGCTGCCTCATTGGTTCATCTGTGCTGCTGCTGTTGCTGAGCGTAAACGTGTGTCTGTGTGTGTGGCTGCAGCACACTGGTGCATGTGTCAGACTGGAGCGCCTCCAGCTCCAGTCTGGAAGCAGATCAGCTGGTGGACACAGTCTTCCAGGGAAGCAGCGCCAGCAGCCAGTAAACACCTCCGTATCCTGCCTCCCTGACCCGCTGGGCTGCACAGTGTTAATTGAGCCGCGGGTCATTAACCCAGCCCTACGCCTGACCTCCGCGCTCGTCGCACCCTCAGCAGGACACTGTGTACCTGCGCTGTCTGACGGTGGCGCTAATAGTTCTTTATATTAAACACACCAGCTGAACTTTGATAAATGCCACCGTAACCACCGGTGGAGATTGGCTGCAAGTGAAGCCCAGCTTCATGTCCAAGTGTCGTACCATCGACGGTGACCACGGCGCCTCCTGAGGGTCCTGCTGATGTGTATTAATTCCTTCAACGGCCTTCGTTGGCCTGGTGTGATTGGATGAAATTACGCAGAACAAAACAGCCGCTTCTACAGAAGTCGGCCAGTCGAGGCTTTCCTGGTAATCAGTAGATGTTGTGGTTTTGTTGCAATAGGTCTGTGTTTCCCAAACCTGGGGGCGGCGGAGGTGAGGGGGACGTGGAACTATTAATCTACTTTAAATATTTATTTTTCCCTTTTCTCCTACAGCCGGGAAACTGACTTGTTTTTCTTTATGACAGAGTTTTAAATGGAGTTCAATGGAATTCTGCAGTACCACTTTTGGCCTATGTCCAAACGGGGGAGGCGCTGCAGAGTTCATGTGTCGTGTAATGTAGGAGTTAGTTACAATTCCTCAACTCCAGACAGACCTTAAACAACTGTACAGTACAGTACAGTACGGTACAGTACAGTACACGTCAGTCTGTTCCATTGCCGTCAGAGGTTCGATGCCTGAAGTATTGCTTCCACAGACACCGATCCTAATGTTCTCCACTGTTTGATGGATTATTCGACCACTTGTTTTTCTAGGTGATGTTGTAGGAGACAGACCCCCCCCAACATGTCATCACCAGCCCCCCCCACCAACCCCTGAGTTAAGGAGCCTTAAGTGAAAACATTTCCGTCCTTCGTCAGTCCTGTCTTCGTGAGTGGAATCATTTTCTTTTGATGACCGTCCAATAAAGGCAGGCGCTGTCTGATGTTTACGCCCCACATTTTCATTCATGGTCTTGACCTCTGGGGGTGACCTCCCTAGTTAACGACAGATCAGCGCTGCTAAACAGACGCGGGGGCTTCTGGGGGGGGGGGGGGGGC